AAAGCATGGACCAATTGAGCAAAAAGGAACAATGTAGTTGAAAAAATGAAGAAAAGACGGCCCGGGGATCGCCTAATCCATTAGGCGAGTCACCGAATGGTCTTATTCTCGCCTGATGTTCTAGGGTGCATATCCCTTATGGAAAGCATCAAGTCGGTGGTGAAAAGGAGCAATAGGTGTTTCGTTGAGCAGTTTCGCAAAGCAATACTAGATCGCTCATTGCTCCAGAACGCGAAGATGTTGAAGGCTAAAGCAAGATGACGATGGAATATACTAAAGGGAGGATCGCCGAGTTGACCGGCGATCCTGACTAACTGCACGGAGTGATCCTTCTTAGCTCCCGCTACCCCCCCCCCCCCTCAAACAAGGTCATCCCACTCCACCGCCACACCCAATCAATTTTCTTTTGAAAAAAGATACTTTTGGGATGTATTTCAATTTTTTTTAAAAAAAAATCATTTTTACGCCACCCAACAAGCCCCACTCCCGCACCATCCCCACCTAGGTCACATCCGTCATTTATTTTTACTGGGTCAAATGTCATGGTCCAATTTTGAAACGGTCATCGGGGTATTGTTCAAGTTTGGGTGTCGAGGTAGAGTCCTACATTAATTATTGGGACTTATTTTTGGATCAGAAATTATTTTTCTAAAGAGAATTATTTTAATCTCAAGAAAAAAAACATATTTTCTGAAAAACTATTTTTATTCACCAATCAAACATTAATTTTTTTTTACTCTCCAATTAAACATGAGAAAAATTAGAAATTAACTTGTTTTCCAAAAGACCACTTCCATGAATAATATTTTCCTTCGTACCAAACACACCCTAACTGTGAAGCGTTAATAAAGGAAGACGAATATACGTGCCTGGACGTTGTACGATCCAAAATTAGTGAATTCTCTTGAAATGGCACTCAACTCTCTATAAATTTAAATTGAATTATTTCAATTTATAAGATATATTTTTATTTAGATTTTACATATAGAAATTTTAATCAATAAAAAATTGAAATATTATATTTAAATTCACTCCAAATAAAACGGAAGGAATAAGAAAATAAATATCGGTAGTAAGTTACAAGACAACAATGTAGAACTTAGTAATCCAAAAAAAAAAGTAATAATCAACTAAAAAAATCCTTAGTGGATAATTTGGTTTACAAATGTTTTGTGATTGTCAATAGTTTTGTCTAAAGCGGTCAATAGTTTTGTCAAAAAAATTATGTATGTTATTTAATTTGTCAAAAAATTTATTATTTTTTCTTTTAAATATATTCTTTTCCTAATAAAGGTTTTTTATTTTAAGTATAAAATAGTTATCTTGTTTTAATTTAAAATATATTCAGAAATACTTCTTTACTAATTTATTAAAAATATCAATATTATATGAAGCTAGAAAGAGAAATCCTTTTATCGCTTAATTTATTTTATGTTAAAAAGTATTTTTGAAATTTCATTTAAACGGTCAAATAAGTGAAACTTAACATGTATAAAACGTTGACCTGGATAGATATTTATTAAATAAAAAATATGGCTTTTTAAATAAAATAAACTAACAGCATATATCTCGTGATTCGTAAATTGATAACAAAGAAAAGGTGCATAATTAATGCCCACTTATAGTATGATTTGTTGGAGTTGGGTTTTGCATCTAAATGTATAACAAAGTGTGTAGCGTACTCTGTCTTTTCAAGGCAACTCAAAACTTCTCGTTAACTGGTACAAGAAGTTTACACCAACTAGATTTGGGGATTAAGTCACATTATTAAGTAGAATCTTTTTTGCTAGAATTTAAGCAGAATGATATTTTATTTATTTTATTTTATTTTTTTGAATAATTATTGATGAAATATCCTCCGTGAATTAATAATTTTTTTTTGTTTTTAAGTTTGTGTCACATTGATGTAACTCACGTAAAATGAAATTGCAACAATAATTATTAATTAGTAAGTGAACTGAATATCCTATGAAAGAAGATTTTTAGTCAAACAAAAATCACTCCCTCTAGGAAATTACACCCAATGACCTTGTAAATGAATTAATTTGAACTTTTAACTCTCGTTTTTCATCCATGAGTAAGGTCTAAAACTAAAATTTGCGGAACTTGAAGATTTATCTATGAAATAAACTAGATGAAAAAAATTGTGACTTAATTAAGTGACACTAATCGTATAAAAATTATTTGTACACTCTTTCTCTTATACTCATTACTAAACTTGTTTAACAGATGAAACATTATTTAGGTATTTTTTTATCAGATCTTAAATAGATATTCAAAAGAAGAATTAGGCTAAAAATATGCATATAGCTTAAAATGTTTTATTCTTACGTCCTACTTTTTCTTTTCGAAATTAGATAAGTCAAGTTCTTGTGCTATGTCAAAAGTGAAGTTCGCCCCGCCCTATTCTTTTATCAATATATGAATGAACTTAAGTTGTATATGTCACACCCCTATTTTTCCACTCAAAAATATTAGTTTTAAGATAAAAGAGTTTTTCCAACTAAGGTGACGTTTTGAAAAGAGATTATTCTATATTCAGAGTCGCCACTTGGAATTGAGTTTTAGTGTTCCAAACCAACTTATTTAAATCCTAAATCAAAAGAAAGTTGACTCTTTATTTTATGATCTGCGAAATCAAAAATCGGGTAAAAAATTTTGTTAACCGAAAGAAAGATATTGAAACTCCCGAGTGTTGTAATTCTAGCACGGTCGCTTTATTGACTTTTTATTTTGACTTAATCTTTTTGATATTATATTATTAACTTAAAAATAAAAATATTTTTTAGACTTACTCTCTAATTTATTTAAATTTGTTTCATACATTTTTGTTGTTTTTTTATCATTCTTCCAATGTAGAATTTTCTTGTTGTTTTTACTTTTTGCTTTTTTTTTAATTGTTACATTCCTTTTACTTCTTTTTCCTTTTAACTTTTTCTTAAAATATATATAAAATAAAAAATCATGTTCCTATATTTTAAGAAACAAAAAATCATTATTACTCTTAACACTGTATTTTTTGTTTCTTTTAATTTTAAATCTTATATTTTCATTTTTAATGTTGTACATTTTTTCTTCTTTTTTATTTTTCCTAAACACTTTTTTTAAATTCTTTTCCTAATTAAAATATTCTTTTTTCTTATTCTAACAAATTTATTATTTTTATTTTTTGTTAGTATCCAAAAGATCAAGACAACACACATATCATAACATAAAATATAACTTAATACTTTTCTAAACACAATCAAACAAATAATTCATTAAAATTAGTTAGACAAGAACATAAAAATTTTGACAATTTATTAAGATAAAAGAACGAGAAATGAACTATTAAGCATGTGAGAAATACTCACAATATCGTATAGCATGTTTCAGATATATATCAGTACACAACATTTAGTAATATTAACAGATTAAACACATACGAAATATGAACAACTTCAATATACTGGAATTAATTCTTATACAATCATGACATAAAACTAATACAATATAACATAAATTTAGGTGTAACCTCTTGTAAAAATTATTTCACTAGAAAAAAAAATTCATGAACTATGAACTTGAAGCCACGAATAAAACCTATAATTCAACTATTATTGGGTTGTATATTTTTTTGTGTTTTTTTTTTTTTTTGGTTCTTGTTGTTGTTCCCCCTATTTATTCAAAAAGTGTGTCCGTGTGTATATGTATAGTAATGTGTGTGTGTAGTAGTGTGTACGTGTGTGCAGGTTTTGGCGGAGTGGGTAAAGTGGGGTAATGGGAAAATGGTTTTTTTTATATAAATTAAACATATATAAAATTCTAATAATAAAAATATTAATTGTTTTGAATTAATAATAAAAAAATTAAATGGTTAATTAAAAAATATAATTAATAAATATTAGTTTATTTATTAAATTTAAATTAAAAGAAAATATATTTATGCAACTTCTTGTTTCTTTTTTAAACAATTAAAAAACTTATCAAAAAAATTATGTTTATGTTGTTTGTTTTTAAATATTTTAAATAAATTTAATAAAATAAGATAAAAGTCAAAAATTTTAATTTAGATTTATAAAAATATTTATGATCTAAAAATGGTGTAAAATAATAGGCTCGGTCAAAATTTACGTGTCTATAGTTTGTCTCTCTTTAACCGAAAACACGAAGTGTTTGTCTGACAAAGAAGTAGAAAAAGCAACAAGTTTTGACCAAACTCTTATTTGAAAGAAAAATATGCGACCAAGTCTTTGATTTGGACAGCCTACATATCCCAGGTTGTAAGGGAATCAGATCACGTGTAGTACAAGGAGATGAGGTTATGAATTGAAAGTTAAGTGAAGTTCCATCGAGGTTTCAAGTCGCGGTTCTTATCCTCACATGAAAAATAAATTAAAAGCTAATAGTCAAAAGGAAAATAAAAGTACAAGTTCCTATCTATGTAGCTTCTCTTAAATGTTCACTTGAGTCTTCACTTTGAGATATCACCTTACTGTAGGTGAGTATCTTGATCTTGAATGGATCCGATGCTTAACTTGCTAGTTAGAGTGAGTTTTTTACACTCTTCAAAATGAAAAATTGAATATGTTCTTTAATGACTGCATGTTTTCTCAATCGGTAGCTGAATAGAAATAGGTGTTAAGAAGTCAATTTGCTACACGCATTGCAGAAGCGGATGGAGATTATGGGGATTGATCATTTTGAAAATAATTGAAACTTTGCTCTTAAATTCCAAATTCATGTTTCGCTTGAAGAAACCTGAAAACGATTACAAACAAAAAAACAATATAAAATTTTCGCGCAGTTCTCACTTGAAAATTTTTGTGAATTATTAGCAATTGTAAATAAAAAAGATATATAAAAAATCAAACTAAGGAGTGTTTGTCCTAGGAAAAAATAAAAATAATTTTTGATAATCAATTTTGGACCTTCACCATATAAACTAATCGATTCGAGCTTCTTCGATTTCAACGATTTAAATAATTAACTTTATAAAATTTTAAGAAAAACAATACAAAATTTGCACTTTATTTTAAATAATTTTGTCACTTTTATAATTTTTTAGAATATATATATATAGAGAGAGAGAGAGAGAAAGAGAGAGAGAGAGCTATTTCTTGAACTTCAAAAGCTAACCCACTTAGGAACCAAGTTTTGGGCCATCCTTTTTCCTCGTATTGCAATTTGCAGCCTAAGTTCCACTTCAAAACAACCCAATCCAATTTCCTTTGCACTCCAATTCAGCCGCCCCAGCCCATTATTTTAACCTTGACCCGACCCTGCGCGTGTTTCTTCCTATCCTTGCACGCGAGCAATGCACAAACCAGAACCTTGTAGGCCGAAATCCAATTCGAAACTCAGCGAACCCATCGCGACCCGAGTCCTGCAAATCCAGGTGTCTCAATCTCGTGTACCCACTCGTCCTTGCTCGAAATCAAGCAGCCCTTCTTCTCCAGCCGTTGAGAATTGTCGGAGTGTGGTACAAATTCAAGTTGTCCAGCCTTATCTCTGAGAGTTTTTGAATTTTGAATGAAAATTTTATCCAAATATTTCCTCCCGGGTTCCCCCTATTTTTTCAGCTTTGGTTTCTCATATAAAAGCTCCACTCTTGCTTCAGCTAGGGGGTTGGGAAAAAAATAAAGTTTGAATGGAAAGAGGTTGAAGAATATATTTCATTCATATAAGCAAGAACTCATATATAGAGAAGAATCTCGAATATAAAGTTTTCAATGTCAAACCGACCTGAATTCAATAAAGTGAGATAGTGAGTACTCAAGTTTCAATTTCATTTTTATATGGTTGACGTTCTTGTTGTTTCATTCGAATCTTACTTTATGTGAAAGGTCATTGAAAGGCTCATTTTGTCCCGGATTGCTGCTCTCCAAAAGGTAATAATTATTTTCGCTCGTGTCTTTTGTTTCATGATGTGTTGTTCATTTGATTTACAATATGAGGCATCCAAATATTGAACTTTTTTCAGATTATTTCGACTTGTTTTTATATGAGTTATGTAACTAGCCTATTTCGAATATTGCTTCCTGTTTGAGTAACCATCTTGACTAACTTTTTATTTGTCATCTTCTCTTGTTTGAATCTTGTTTAAAACTAAGTAGTGGTGTTTAGGTTTGTTTTCCATTTTAGTAGCAAATGTATTTGTTCTAGTTGTTTTCTTTGGTACTGTGTTTTCATTCAAATCTAAAAGTGCTTGCTACAAATCTGTGCATCGTTTTCTTGGTTTGCTCTTTGTTCTGTTCTCTTCAAAATGAGCTTAATAGCATGCTTAGTTTCATGGGTTGTTGGTTGTGCATTAGCTTTAGCAGTTGTCTGAAGAATCACTTTCCTGCTTTGGTTTTGACTTCATTTCATTTAGTGATAATAGATATTTTGTTTTCGAATGTTCAAGCTTCACGAGAGACTTAGGGCCCGTTTGGATGGGCTTAATAAAAACAACTTTTAAAAAGTACTTTTGAAAGTGCTGAAACTTATTTTTAAAGTAAGCAGTTATGCATTTGGATAAAAGTGCTGAAGTTAAAAAAAAAAAGTTGTTGATGTGTTTGGCAAATAAGTGCTGATAAACAACTTTTTAAATAAAAATGTCTGAAATATCCTTAAAAGCTGTTAACATAATAAAAGTTAATTAATTTATATTTTACAGCCATAAATAATTATATTTTGCTATCATTCACATATTTCTTTCTCATCACAAATTATTTATAAGAGGAATATCAACTTATTATAGATTTTAAGGATATATAATTTGAATAGATTAAGGATATATAATTTGAATAGATTAAGGATATATAATTTGAATAGATTTTAAAGATATATAATTTGAATAGATTGAAGAACGATTTAAGATTTTATTTTAGTTTCATCCATATGTAATAATAATTGTCTATCATTCACATATTTCTTTATTATCACAAATTATTTATAAGAGGAATATAAATTTTTATTTAAGTTATACGTGCAACTTATTTTACATTTTAATAATATATAATTTGAATATATCACTTGAAAGATTTAAGATTTATTTTATTTTCATTCATTAGTAATAGTAATTGTCTATAATCCACACTTGAAAAGGGAAAAATAGAAGAAAGAGATGTTAGAGCTATGTGGGTAATTTGGAGATTGTATAAAAATATTAAGGGCAAAAAGGTAAAAATGTGGTCAACTTAGAACAGCTTATAAGCTGGAAAAAAAAGCACCCTACCCCAGCTTTAACTTTGGCTTAAAATAAGTTTTTTTAAAACTTAAAATAAGTTATTTTAAGTATTGTCAAACAACTAAATAAGTCAAAAACCAGTTTTTAAGTCAGTTTGACCAGCTTTTAAGGTGGCTTGGCTTAAAAGCTGGTCAAACTGACTTAAAAGCTGGTTTTTGACTTATTTAGCTGTTTGACAATACTCAAAATAATTTATTTTAAGTTAAAAAAAAAACTTATTTTAAGCCAAAAGTTAAAAGTTGGGGTAGGAGTGCTTTTTTCTTTTAGCTTATAAGTTGTTTTAAGTTGACTACATTTTTACTTTTTTGCCCTTAATATTTTTATATAATCTCCAAATTACCCACATAACCCTAGCATCTCTTTCTTCAATTTTTTCCTTTTCACGTGTGGATGATAGATATTACTATTACTAATGAATGAAAATAAAATAAATCTTAAATATTTCAAATGCTCTATTCAAATTATATATTATTAAAATATAAAATAAGTTGCATATAAAACTTAAATAAAAATTTATATTCCTCTTATAAATAATTTGTGATAATAAAGAAATATGTGAATGATAGACAATTATTATTACCTATAGATGAAACTAAAATAAAATCTTAAATTGTTCTTTGATTTATTCAAATTATATATCTATAATAAGTTTAAATTTCTCTTATAAATAATTTGTGATGAGAAAGAAATATGTGAATGCTAGCAAAATATAATTATGTATGGCTGTAAAATATAAATTAATTAACTTTTATTATGTTAACAGCTTTTAAGGATATTTCAGACATTTTGATTTAAAAAGTTGTTTATCAGCACTTATTTGCCAAACACATCAACAATTTTTTTTAACTTCAGCACTTTTATTCAAAAGTATAACTGTTTATTTTAAAAATAAGGTTCAGCTCTTTCAAAAGTACTTTTTTAAAGCTGCTTTTATTAAACCCATCCAAACGGGCCCTTAATGTTATGGTCTTACTGTAATGTTTTTTCTTTATGTGTTTGAGCACATTGACATCTGTTGTTGAGAAATACAATTAGAACATTTGTTGTTATCATGTTTCTTTCGTAGTTTCATTAAAGAATGTTTATTGTCATTTATCAAGGCTCGGCAGCTTTGAGTTTGTTCCCTATCAAAGTAAGTTTGAAAATCTCGTGTTGACTGCTTCTAAATGTTATCTTAAAATCTCATATGTCATAAATGCAGTTTAAGTAATGCAAAGTATGTAGTTGTTTGTTAGCATCACCTGTTTTTTTTTTTTAGATTTTGATTTGGTGTCAATGACACTTTGAATTAATAATGGTTACCTTATTTCCCTTGTTATGTTGTAGAGAAGTTTCAAATGATTTCGTACTTGCATTGTTGCCTCTATTTAGTAAAGAACGAGTTTGGAGTGTTTCATATGCATAGTATGTAACGACTCATTTGATCGTTTTGAGTACTAGAGCTTTTTATTTCATAAAATACTTTTCAATAGATTTTAAATGGATATTTTAAACTTTTCTTAACTACAATTTTAAAACTAGTGGGGAAATCTTATTAATAAATTTAGTTAGTGGTAAAAGAAAATAATATTAAAAGTAATAGTAGCACACCTTCACACTTTTATAATTAGTTTAATAATAATTAGGGTTACTATGGATTCATTAACTAAAAACAAAGAAATATGGGCATCTGCATGACTATCAAAGAAGGTGACGGACGATTCATGTATCAAAATTTTATCATATTTTAATACTTGTATGCATATGTAAATATTAAACATATTGATTTAATAAGGCAATTATTAATATTGGTATGTGTAATTTTAGTGGATTTAATACCCACTAAAGTGCCTTGAAATTTTAAAAAGAATTTAGGTTAATGATTGAAAACAATGAATAGAAATTATTAGGTAATTTATACGAAAGAATAAATGGACATTATTGTTGGTGTTTCTTAGTAATAATATAATAATGCTATTAATTTTTAGTTGATGGACAATATTATAATATTTATTGTGTTTGGTTGAAAATAGGTTGAATGGAAAAGTTTCTCTTGGCAACGTAGATGTTGGTTTGATAATTAAGGCAAAATATTATTAGCCTATTAAATGTGACATTGTATGGCTATCGTTAGAGCCATTGGGGGAGTTGGAGTGTCATTCATGTAGACATTATATAATTATTATTATTATTATTATATTGAGTTAGTTTGTGAATGATAAAGAAGAAAATGGAGTGGTGAGTTAAATTGTAAATGGTAAATGTTGTTAACGTTCTTGGGCTTGGGAAAGATAAGAATTGGTGGCTAATTAGTGAAGAATAATGATTGGTTAGTTAATGAATTGACTTTTGATTAATGATCAATTAAGGTGTTGGTTGCCACTGGTCTGTAACCAATGACATTTATTTTAATAATATTTTAAATTTGTATATCATATTATGAATGAAATTATGATATATTGAGATAGGTAATTAAATATTAGGTGTGTTTTATTACGTTTATAATATTAAAGAAATTGAGACTCAAGCTTAGGCTTGAATTCAAGATAATCGGATTTGACCTATTAATATGAAATCAACATTGAAACTTGATATATAATTGAGTTTGTCTACTTACAAATATTATATACTTTATAGATTGGTAAAGCTTTGAAATCATAGAGGAAAGAAAAAGTAGTGGAGAAGTAGCTTGTTCACTCCGGTTCTTCAGTTGAGGTAGGTTATGGTTTATGCTATTTGATAGTAACCTTTTAATAGTGATTGATATGCATTGAATGATACTGTGAAGTTTTTTATGTACTTGATTTTGTGGTTGTGTGGCTTGATCGTGTGGCTTGTGATTGGTCTGAAATCCTGAGACCATGAAATTTATAATCTTCAACCTCTTTGTCGAAGTAATGCCTTGAATAAAGAAGGCTTGATGAAATCTTATCAATGAATTTAAAAGTAGTGATAATAAATGATAACTTAATGGTATTATTGGATCGGTGTGTCACGTTCTGACACTATATTTTTGGATCGGAGTGTCACATTTCGACAAGATATGCTTGGATCAGAGTGTCAGTGTGTCACGTTCCGACACGGTATTCTTTGATCGGAGTGTCACATTCTGACAGGGTATTCTTGGATCGAAGTGTCACGTTCTGACACAGTATAATTGGATCGGACGTTCCGACACAGTAACATTAGAGGAAAAGGAAATTGAAATATGTTAATGTACTCAATTTGAAAGAACTCATTTTCCAAATGAGCGTGGCATGGAGGCATGGGTCCTCATTGGTGTGCTTGATATTGTGAGTGATTACTTAGTCATTTGTTTATGTTGTTTATTTCTTACCACTTGTTAAGTGTCATAGTTGAGTTCATACTATTATTCATTGTATATTACTTTCTATTTTGGGTTGGCCGATGATACCTACTCAGTACATGTTACCTCGTATTGAGCCCTACTTGTATTTTTCTTTGTTTTTCTTTCATGGAGTGTAGCAAGTGTACCGGCAAATTTGACTCGCCCTCAGCTCTAGCAAGTCTCGGCATATCATGTTCAAGGGTGAGTTGTTCATTCGAGCTTGGGTTGGATTCTCTTGGTCATTACATGCTGTCCTTAGTTTTCGGACACAAATTACTTTATTTCATTTATTTTGTTGTCTTTAGTACTCTTAGACTTAGTAATTGGAGATTAGATGTCCTTGTTGTGATGACTTTTAGGTTTTGGGAACGATTAATTAATAAGTTTTGAAGCTTCCGCATTATTTTGTTATTCGTAGTTGAGTTATTGGTACATGTTGGTATTTGGATTCCTTGGTTCGCCTACCTAGGTAGTTAAGTTTGGGTGCCACTCACGACTCGATTTGGGTCGTGACATAGTAATTTGAGTTGCATTATTTTCTTGTGCACTTGAGATGCTCTAATTAATGTGGTTTTGGTCCTAAATTTTTGCCATGATTTAGTTAAATTGTTGACCCTCTTGAAGACATTTATATAGTTATTAAATATTTGCTAAAGCTACTGTCGGGATTGGTAAAATGAGAGCATAATTCATATAAAACGTGTCATAATGTTAATATATTATTTGGGTTATATAGCTATGTGTTTTAACTTGATGTTAACCATTTTAGAGATAATTTTTTCTAATGTATTTCTCATTTTTCTATGTTGCATGTGAAATTTGACGGGGTTCACTTTGAATTCTCATATTTCTCCTCGCATTTTGGGAGAGCAGTAAAGGCTTAATTTCGATATCATCGAGTCAAACCCATAAATTGATGAATAGGTTCCCGAGATGAAGAATTTGAAACAAACGGAGAAGTTGAAATATTGGACTTAAGGCCCACTTTTTTATTTTTCCAAATATTGTATTTTGTTATTTTTTGTGTTAGCCCTTATCATGTTGTATTATTATTATTCGGTTAGTTTAGGACAAGTACCGTTGGAATGAGCCAAAAGCTCAAAATGAAATGGGTCCAAATACCGGTCCATACGAATAAAAAACCCGACTCTCTTTCTCTTTTATTTTATCGCTTATTTGCTTGTTAATTAATTGTCGTTAGTTTTAAGGTTAAAGAATTCAAATCTCCACTAATCGTTATTTCATTTTGATGATTCAAATTAAATTGATCGTCTTTAAATAGATTTAAAATAATAAATATATTTTGCGAGTCAATTAACTCACTCAGATGATAAGTAAATTTTCACCCTTTTAAGGATTCAAATTCTCTTCGATTCAAATCAAGTTAAGTTTTAAGCCAAATCAAATTAGTTGTCGAATAACCGCATGTAAGCACACATTTTAGATGCTTTCAAAACCTTCCTAAGACGTTAATAAGAACCCCCGAACCCATTTAAAACTCTTTCAATTTGATTTTCCATTTTAGTCAATTGGAAGAATAGTCTTCTTAATTTTTCTCAAAAATTAAGTGGCGAATCTAAACAAGTCTAACAATTATGAAAATATTTTTTACTAAATAAAATAATGTGTGAGAATAGGAAGTGTTTATCCTAGTAGAAAATAAAGATAACGATACCAGACTAGAAAGTGTTTATCCAAGGAAAAAAAAGCATAACAGTCTTAGACTAGGAAGTGTTTATCCTAGGAGCGAATAAAAATAACGGTCTTAGACTAGGAAGTGTTTATCCTAGGAGAAAATAAAAAATAATGTCTCGAACTAGGAACTGTTTATCCTAGGAGAAAATAAAAAAAAACGACTCAGATTAGAAAATGTTTATCATATCAGGAAATAAAAATAACGGTCTCCGACTAGAAAGTGTTTATTCTAGGAGAAAAATAAAAAATAACGTCTCAAACTAGGAAGTGTTTATCGTATGAGAAAATAAATTAATGGTCTCAGACTAGAATATGTTTATCCTAGGAGAAAAAAAAAGGTCTCTATAACGACCTGTTTAGTCGTTTTGAGCAGTAGAGTTTATTTCTGGCAATAGCTGTCTGGGTCGACGGATCCCACGACAGACCGTCATGGGCACGACGGACCGTCGAGGGGGTCTCGTTTCAAAACACTTAGACTCTGGAAATTTGGGTACTGAGAACAACTCTCTGAACTTCGCGACGGAAGAGCAGCACGGACCGTCGTAGGTATGACGGACCGTCACAGAGTCTTTAATGTAATTGAGCCTCTAAACTCTGTGACGACGCTGCAAGAGGACCGTCGCAGTCATGATGGACCGTCACAGGCGGCGTAACCCTGACTGGGTCGGATTTCTATTAAAAGTTTTTAAGGGGTGTTTTGGACTATTCCTGCTTATGATTATAAAGTTAGTGGTTTAATGTTAATAATTCAATTACTTGGGGGTTAAAGGAGATAACTTTGAAATAAATAGTGGTTTAATTTTACCATCTTTTATACTTAATTATATGGTAATTAGGGTAAAAGAAAAAGAGTTTGAATAAGGAAAAATAGAAAGAACAGAAAGAAGAGGGGAGAACGAACGAGAGAGGGAGAAACGAAGAGGAAAGCAAAGCAATGGAGAAGTAGATTGGTTGATCACGATTCTTCGGTGGAGGTAGGTTATGGTTTATGCTATTTCATAATGAACTCTTAATAGCGAATGATATGTATTGGGTAGTATTGTAAAGTCTTCTATATGCTTAATTGTGTGCTTGCATGATGTGATTATGTAATTGTAATGGATTGGAAAGATGAGACTGTGAATCTTAAACCTTTAAATTCACTTTGTTAATGATGATGCCTTGGTATAAAAGAAGGCTTGATGAACGAAAGTAATGAGATTAGGGGATCGGGTGTCACGAACCGACACGTAGTATTAGGGGATCGGAGTGTCACGTTCCGACACAAGGATAGTAGGGGATCGGAGTGTCACGTTCCGACTCCAGGATAGTAGGGGATCGGAGTGTCACGTTCCGACACCAGGATAGTAATGAATTAATATTGAGGGGATCGGAGTGTCACGTTTCGACACCAGGATAGTAAAGAGAATGAATCTTGAATTATGCTAATATACTCAGATTTAAAGAACCTATTTCCCAAGTGAGTATGGTGTGGAGGCTTGAGTCCTCATAGATGTGCTTGGTGTTGTGGCCAATGGTTATGGTACTTGTTGTTGTCACCTGTTGAATATGGTAGTTGATTTATGTTATTATTCGATATATATTGCTTTCTATTTTGAGTTGGCCGATGATACCTACTCAGTACTTATGCCTTGTACTGACCCCTACGTGTAATTTTCTTCTTTGTTATTTGTGGAGTGCAGCAAACGTGCCATCGTCTTCAACTCGTCCTCAACTCTAGCCAGTCTTCATCACGTCAGATTTCAGGGTGAGCTATTGTTCCTAGCTCGGACTAGATTCTCTCTCATTCATGTCTTGATGTCCTTGAAGTTCGGACATGGACCATTTGTTTACTTATTTTAGCTTCCTAGCTACTCTTAGATTAGTAATTTGAGGATAGAATGTTCTTGTGGTGATGACTTCCAGATTTTGGGAATAATAAGTATTAAATTTTAGAAGTTATTTAATCGATTGTCGTTAATGAGTTTTAAGTCTTCCGCATTATATTATGTTTATTATGGTTGAAATGTTGGGGTTTAGATTGGTTGGTTCGCTCACATAGGAGGGTAAGTGTGGTTGCCACTCGCGGCTCGTTTTGGGTCGTGACAAACTTGGTATCAGAGCATTAGGTTTGTTGGTCTCATCACACAAGAACGAGACTATTAGAGTCTTGAGGAACGGTAGGGGGACGCCTTTACTTTTCTTTGAGAGGCTACAAGACTTAAGGAAAATTCCATTCTTTCTTTCTTTCGTGCTATTACTTGGATCCAATTGGTATCTAGGTGATACAAATTGGTATCTGATCATCTTCACTCTATTTCGCAGATGGTTAGAACTAGGACAACAACTGTGACAACACCAACACCGGCAAGATAAGATGCGTCTGAACCAGTCACTGAGGTTGTAGCTCGAAGAGAAGCAGTGGCAAGAGGCCGTGGTAGGGGTCGCGGGAGGACGTCCTCTAGATGAAGAGGACAAGCACTTGGCCCAGCTAGTACTAGGGCAGTGACTCCTTCACCGACTGAGGAAGCATTAAGAGAGGGTGAGGAAGGGGAGAATGAACAAGTGCAGAATGAGGGATTACAACCCCAACCTACCCCAGAAATGATTAACCAGGTTCTTGCTTATCTTAGCGGGTTATCTGACCAAGGCCAGACACCTCCAGTGTTTTCTGCACCAGCACCTCAGGTTCCGGGAGTACAACATGCAGCTGTTGTGGCTCCCCGCATGGATGCCTCCATGGAAATAGGCACGTTTCCTTGGTTGACTACAGGGCCTATAATGACAAGTGATCAACGTGAACTTTTCACTAAGTTCTTGAAGTTGAAACCTCCAGTTTTCAAGGGTAATGAATCTGAGGATGCCTATGATTTTCTAGTTGATTGTCATGAGATGCTACATAAGATGGGCATAGTGGAACGATTCGGTGTTGAGTTTGTAACCTATCAGTTTCAGGGAAATGCCAAAATGTGGTGGCGATCGTATGTTGAGTGTCAACCAGTACAGGCACCACCTATGACTAGGGCATCATTCTCTAGCTTGTTTATAGAGAAGTATATACCCCGGACTTTGAGGGATAGGAAGAGAGAGGAGTTCCTGAGCCTAGAGCAAGGCAGTGTCGGTTACTGCTTATGAGGCTAAGTTTCGTACATTATCCAGGTATGCCACCCAGCTTTACTTCAGTTCACAAGAGCGTATTCGCCGTTTTATGAAGGGATTGAGGTCACATTTGCAGATTCCAGCCTTACAGGTAGCTACTGCAGCAAAATCCTTTCAGGAGGTGGTAGATTTTATGATAGAAGTGGAGGGAGTGAAGCCAGACGACTTCACCATGGCATCGACACCTAAGAAGTTTCGTAAGGGACGTGAGTTTGGTGGGTCCTACTCCAGAGGGCAGAGTTCAGGAGGTTACCCAGCCCGACCTATTCAGTCTTCACTGCAGGCTGTAGCTGGGGGTCCACCGCAGACCGGTCAACACTTCTCTGAGTTTGGGGGTTATTCCCAGACGCCGTCGTTCACACAGGGACCTATGTTTGAACCCAGAGAGTGTTATGGATATGGGGAGACTGGACATATTAGGAGGTATTGTCCAAAACAGAGTTACAGACCCCCAATAGTCAGAGGTAGAGGTGGTCATGGAAGAGGCCACTATTCTGGAGGACGAGGTGGCCAAAGTAATGGAGGTCACCAAATTAACCGAGGTGGCGGGCAAACTGGAACTACTGCAACGCAACATGGTAGGGGCAACGGACAGACAGGTGATAGGACCCATTGTTATGCTTTCCCTGGAAGGTCTGAAGCGGAGACGTCTGATGCTGTTATCACAAGTAATCTTTTGGTTTGTGATTGCATGGACTCTGTATTATTTGATCCTGCCTCCACATTTTCATATGTATCTTCCTCATTTGCTACTGTTCTTAATTTACATAGTGAATCGCTTGACATACCTATTCGTGTCTCTACTCCGGTGGGTGAGTCTGTGATTGTTGAAAAGGTGTATAGGTCTTGTCTTGTGACATTTGTGGGAGCAATACTCATGTAGACTTGGTTATCCTATAAATGGTTGACTTCGATGTAATTCTGGGTATGACTTGGCTGTCTCCAAATTTTGCAATCTTGGATTGTAATGCTAAAACTGTAACGTTGGCCAAGCCTGAGATAGATGCGTTAGTGTGGGAGGGTGACTACACTTCCACTCCAGTTCGTATCATCTCCTTTCTTTGTGCTAAGAGAATGGTTAGTAAAGGGTGTTTAGCTTTCTTGGCACACCTCAGGGATGATACTACCCAAGTACCTTCAATTGAGTCAGTTTCGATAGTCCGTGAGTTTCTGGATGTGTTTCCTGCAGACCTTCCTGGTATGCCACCGGATAGGGATATTGACTTTTGCATTGATCTGGAGCCGGGTGATCACCCCATTTCCATACCCCCTTATAGAATGGCTCCCGCTGAGTTGGGGGAGTTAAAGGCCCAACTTCAAGAGTTGTTAGGTAAGGGCTTCATTAGGCCAAGTG